ACTTCATCAGTGTCGCAGGTGGACGATGAAAGCGACAGCTTCCCTGGCGGCCAGAAAAGTTAAATAGCCTCTGAGTGTCTGTCTATATGTGTTGTGTGTCTTTGGCATTGAAAGTTTGCCATATATGTGTACATTGTAATCCGCCCTGAGTCTCCTGCGGGGTGAGAAGGGTGGAATATAAATACTGTAAATAAATAATAAATAATGATGCTGCTAACTGCCAAGTGAAGTTTACATTGGGGACCTTATCATGTTGTGCACTCTTGTGATCTCATTTGAACAATTTAATTGTGGGTAGCCTAGATATCGATGTATTTCTGAACTTTGCAACCTAAATGCTGTAAATGCCAGAAACTCACAAGTTCAAGGGTAAGGTGAGAATTGATTGTGCTTAGCTATCTCTTGCCTTTAACTGATAGAACATAATTTATCAAGGAATCACCCCAAGTATGCAATTTCTGATAGTAGTTATTGCATCACTAACAGGTTGTGCTTTATGAAGGCCATGTGCGTAATCAGCCCTCCATTTCAAGCCTCTGTGGCCTGAAAACATTCTTAAAAAGAAGAACACCATTGAGATGCATTAGAATTTAGGAATTTTCACAACAGATCAAACAGTTAAGGAGCAACCTCCAAACATCCATAAACATTCATTGTTTTTAGGTGCCATCTACAAATCAATGTCACAAGCTTGGTAGGTGGGGATCAGAGAGGGGGGGCTTTCTCGGTGGCGGTCCCATAGCTTTGGAACTCCCTTCCCAGGGAGATTAGACAGTCCCCACACTGTCCTCCTTTTGTAGGAACTTGAAGACATGGCTCTTCAATCAAGCCCTTGAGAATATTTACTCCCTAGTTGTCCTGCGTAGTAGTCACACATCCTGTACTTTATCCCATATCCTATCTCCATTACTGCAGCTGGCACTTATTTTATTCTTAACTAGCTGCCCCCCTGCCACGCGTTGCTGTGGCCCAGTCTAGTGATCTGCAATATAAAGAGAAAGTGTTGGTTTCTAATATATGTAATTTCTTTATGCTTGTGGGTAAACAGTATTTCTTGCTGTTTCTTTGTCAGTGTTGATGTGGAGATTGTCTGGTTTGCCTACTCTGGAACATGCAACATATAATTGTCCTTCTTTAGGGGTCCCTTTCACATCTATGATACTATATCTCTGTGTGTGTGAATCATATCTATATCTATGGCTGGATGGCTCTTTCTCAGGAGGGCTTGGATTACATTTTCTTGCCTTGGTGAAGGGAGTAGGACTGGATGTTGGTCATGGGGGTTCTGTGTGGAAGGTTTGCCCCAATTCTGTCATTGGTGGGGTCAAGAATGCTGATTGTAGGTGAACTATAACTCCCAGTAACTACAACTCACAAATGTCAAGGTCTATTTCCCCCAAACTCCATCTGCGTTCATATTTTGGCATATTGAGTGTTTGTGCCAAGTTTGGTCCAGATCCATCATTGTTTGAGTTCACAGTGCTCTCTGGATGTAGGTGAACTACAACTCCCAAGCTCAAGGTCAATGCCCACCAAACACTTCCAGTATTTTCTGTTGGTCATGAGAGTTCTGTGTGCCAAGTTTGGTTCAATTCCATTGTTGATGGAGTTCAGAATGCTCTTTGATTGTAGGTGAATTATAAATCCCAACAACTACAACTCTCAAATGACAAAATCATAATTTTTTTGAGTGATGGTCACTCCTTGTGTTGTGAGACGTTTTGTTGCCAAATTTGGTATGATTTCGTTCATTGGTTCTTTTGTTTTTAAGGTACTCATTATGCACAGAGCATTTTTATATATATAGATGTTTACAACTTGGCCATGTTTACAGCAATTTACCGCTATGGTTACAGGGCCACAGTTTGACTGAATCTGAGTTGATGTTGTATATACGCATGTGTTTTATTTTATTGTATTTTATATTGTGCTTACTCTTTATGTTGTTTTTAGGCATTTTATGCCATCTGTAAGCCATCCCAAGTTCCTTCAGGGAGATGGTAGGATATAAAAATAAAGTTGATGTTGTTGTTGTTAGAAACACAACAAGGTGAGTCCACAGCAGACAAAATAACTCTGCTGGCTGTTGTATTGGATCACACGTCGGACACTTCCCAAGTGTCTAGTAAAAACCACAAGATGAGTCCACAGCAGATACTCTGCTGGCTGTTTTATTGGATCACACGTTGGACACTTCCCAAGTGTCTAGGACTATGTGATATATTGGTGAATAATGCAGGCAGATCCCAGTAAGGTGGCCTTCTGCAGCTGGCAGATGGTAATTTTGTCAGTGCCGATTGTGTTTAAATGCAGGCCAAGGTCTTTAGGCACTGCACCCAGTGTGCCGATCACCACTGGGACCATCTTTACTAGCTTGTGCCAGAGTCTTCGCAGTTGGATCTTTAAATCCTCATATTGTGTCAGCTTTTCTAGTTGTTTCTCTTTAATCCTGCTTTCACCTGGGATTGCAACATCGATGATCCATACTTTGTTTTTTAACACGATCGTGAGGTCAGGAGTATTTTGCTCCAGAACTCTGTCAGTCTGAATTCGGAAGTCCTAGAGTAGTTTGATGTGTTCATTTTCTGTAACTTTTTCAGGCTTGTGATCCCACCAGTTCTTTGTCGCAGGCAGCTGGTATTTGTGGCACAAGTTCCAATGAATTATCTGAGCAACGGTGTTATGCCTCTGCTTACAGTCTGTCTGCACGATCTTCTTGCAGTAGCTGAGGATGTGATCTATTGTTTCATCTGCTTCCCTGCAGAGTATACATTTGGGAATAATAATAATAATAATAATAATTATTATTATTATTATTATTATTATTATTCCCAAATAATAATTATTCCCAAATAATAATAATAATAATAATTATTATTATTATTAATGTACAGTAGACCCTCTGTTAACTGGTCCTAATGGGGATTGCCAAATAAATTTAGTTTCTGGCTGTTCAACAATACTATTAAAAATAGGCCTAACTAAGGACTTCATC